CCCCTATGTACGTAATTCGCGCAGCAACTAGCCCGGAATGTGGGTGGTTCTTGTGAGCCAGCAAGAGCAGTGATCAGACATTGTGTCCGCACCGCCAAGGTCCAGTCTACTCCGTACTTGCCAGATACGTGGCAAGCCGACCAGTTGCCGCCTGGAATTGTTGCCGGGGTCTCAGAAGATTCTGTGGCATTCAGATTTGGATGTCGGCTGGCTGTGCACATCGAGAAGATCCAGGAAGCCAAGAGTCTGCAGGAGTACTGTAGTCGGGCAAGTATGTACCCGCCATAGCACACGCAAACCAGCGTAACCCATGAGGTTCGTGACATGATGCCAAAGAACAAGCCAATCGAAATCAAGCTGGATGGTGGTCGGGAGGGTGTCAAGGATGCCCTGAGCGGCCGACCCGCCACTTTTCGGGCAGGTTTTGAATAAAGACCTTGATTCCAGAGCCTCTTTAACAAGTTGACCTTAGGAGGACCCCCCATCCTGTAATGGTGGTATAGTAGGAATATAAGAGGACCCTAATATAATCCCTATTATCCATTATAGTCACCATTACTGGGTGGGGGGTCCACCTGAAGTTGACCCTAGGCCCTAGGCAGGGCAATGCGAGAGGCAAAACTACGCTTCAGCCCTTGGCAGGAAACAATTTCACTGGCTTCCCACTGGTGGATTCCAAACGGGTGGTGTCGCCCTTACAGTAGCAGCCGCTTGTTATCTTAGGAGAGGGTAAGCTCTGCAATGATTTTGCAGGGGGAAGTATACCATGCAAGAAGTGGACATCAGACGCTGCTTAGGTCGTGGGAATGTGTGACCGAAAGGATCTTGAGGCGAGTTTGCGTTCTGCACCCCGCCAGGAGTTGATCTGCCATGCGATTGAATTGATGAGGAGCTGCTCCTGCAAGACGCCGAAATCACGGGCGACGAGTGTGCGACTTGGTCTTCTTTGCTCCAAGCACTGCTGCCTGAAGTCCTACGACACATGTGTCTTGAATTAGCCGTATGAAGCAGCAAGCTCTCCAAATGCAAGTTTCTTGTTGCGCTTCACTTCGTACCCTTTTCTGCATGCTCTGTCTACGCATGCTCTAGCAGACTAGCTTGGAGCACTGAGTTTGAAGCGATGCTCCAACTTGTATCCCGTCGGAGCCTTGTCGACTAGCCTGCATGTCCACAAGCTGGTTTGCAACATCGTTCAAGCCCACATACGCTCATGCTAGCTAGGTCACCGTGCGAGAGAGCTTCCCTTTGCAGAGCGCCTACCAGCTTTTCAAGAGCATGGACTGCCGCAACTGCCGTCAGTGCAGCATGCTGGTTAATAGCATGGGTCATTTTACGCAAGTTGTGTTCTTCAATTTTGCGCCGGAGATCGCTGCAGGACATGAAGAATCTTGTCGTGGTGGATGACAATCATGCACCGCTTGCGGCATCTCTGGCGCATATTTTTTCTACAACATGTGTTGACTTTTGAAATTTTGCTGACATGATGCATTGGCAGGTCATGACTCGCTTTGCTTTCCTGGCATGGCGAGTGGCTGACAGGCATCTCTTTATTATCATTCTTAGTACAATTATCGCTATTATTATTATTATTATTCTTATTATTGTTATTATTATTGTTATTATTATTGTTATTATTATTGTTATTATTATTGTTATTATTATTTCTGGGTACTGTCGGTACTCGTCTCGTGCCACGAGTTGGCCGGCCGTTTGCCTTCGAGCCTTCGGTCCAGGATGGGGGAGCGGATCCATGAGCTTCACGAGAGGGAGTCGCAGAGGCCCGGCACCAACAATCTTAGCCACTTTAGGTGTTTTTTTAGGAGGGACCCCTAATAGGGACCCTTAATCCCATTATCATATATAACCCTTATATAATCATTATATATGCCTAGGTAGTCCTCAGATAACCCCCATAAGCTACAAGGGTCCCTATTAGGGGTCCCTCCAAAAGTCCTTGGAGGCACCTCTAGTTCAAGCATATTCAAGCCACTGCGAAGTATCCAAAACCAAGAAGAGGCGGCGAGCTCGCCGAAGTGGCACGAGCCTCAGTGCGGCTGTATGTTCTGCAGGCATTTTGCCGAAGTCCCGAAGACACAGATGTATGTATGTATGTATGTATGTATGTATGTATGTACGAACATTTGCATGCTTGGGGTGCTAGCTTTGCTTCGTCTAGCACTGCTTTGTGAGCCTGTGTTCCGGGTTGGGTTTACAGCAGCTCGGATGGCAGGATCAGGAATTTCTCCCACGAACTTGTCTTCGCACCTGGAGAGCAATGAAGACAGCCGAGCTTGATGGGTTCAAGGACTTTCTTCGTTTGGTCATGTTCTTCACTGTGCTGAGCCCCAAAGATGTAAGTCTCCTTTGATTGACATCTGCAAATGTGAGTATCATGTGCATGCGTGGTGCTAGTTCACTGATCGCTGTTCCTCCAGGAATTGAAGACGACGCACTTCTTCACCACTTCGTTGTCCTAGGTTGCAGGGCAGGATCCAGCAAGTTCTATGGCTCACCGCAAACGCGGTACAGAGCCATGGGTCTTGCCTTGAGACTTAATGTCCCAACGCCGGACATTGCAGTCCTGCGTCCAGCATCCCTTGCCTCTACCTGCCTCTTCGAGACTTCCTGCTACCCGCAGTTGCATCTGTGTCTTTGTAGCTTCTTATGATCTTGAGGTCATCCTTTGATGGCCGTAGAGTCAACTGGATGCTGTTTGTTTTTTATGTGTTAATGTGCTCAGGCAGGCGATCGTGACCACCACGTTCCGCCTTCGCCAGGGCATGCTGTTGATTGGTGAGCCTCCAGTGCAGCCAACCCCTTGCCCACAGCACCTTATGCACAATATAATAGTAATAATAATAGTAATAATAATAAGAATATTAATAATAATAGCAATAATACTATTCATAAAAATGGTAATAGTAGGAAGCAGTGAACGTCTTGGCCTCCAGTGTGCTTCGCTGCACTGAAGCTGCTGGAGCGGTCTCTCACCAAACGACTGCATGGACCAAGTATTCTGGCCAGCGGCGAAGTTGCAGCCCTGGGATTGAGCATCCAGCGCCCAAGGGCCTTGAAAGCGATGCAGGCACTTCAGTACTGAGGGGGGTGTGTGTGGATGGAAATCGTGGGTGTTATAATATACATCAATATACTATAACACTGTATAATATATTGTAATATAGTACAATACACTATCATATGCTATAATATTCGTGTAGTAGTAGCTTTGACCTTTGTTACTTTTTGCTTTCAGTTCCTGCGTGTGATGCCGGTCCGCACATTTGACTCCGAGACAAAACGCCGCAGGGACACGATCCATTTTTGGACTCTGAACGACTACTATAGTATATTATAAAGTCGGTTTATGGGGATAATGGAATCTGAACTACTATAGTATTTTATATAGGGGTTATACGGGGATAATGGACAAGAACATGGAAACTACTATGTAGTGATCGGCCATCGTCATCCAGAAACAGAGTTATGTTGCACCTCTGTTTCAGTCAGTGCCACCTGCAGCTGTTGTGATCAAGCATGGGGAATGCTGTCCACGGTCAAGAAATCTCTCCCAGCGAAGAGGCTTGGAGCTGCGTGGCCCGCAAGCCTGTAAGAGTTTGCTGAAGTGAGTGTTCGGGACGCGTGGCTGCCGCAGGACACCATCATCCGGCCCGCGAAGCAGGAAATCCGATAAAGATGCGAGGTGGGCTGAGCAGTGTTATGGAACCGGGCAATGCCACCGATGAGTTGTATCTGCAAATTGGGTGCCAGATGGAGCGGCATCATGTGCTTCCTTTGGTTGTAGTATTTTCTCGCAACAACACGAGTGTAGGTTTTGTCCAGCCGCCAAAAACAGATCTTCCAGATGAGAGTCTGTTCGGGGCTGATCAGATTACATGCCCTGACTCGGCCCAAAATCTTGTAAAAGGGCGCTGGCAGGGACAGCGTTGGCACCCCTCCCATCATCTCCATGGTCATCGTTTCTTTTTTTTTCGTTGGTGTTGTCGGTAATTGCGGGCTGCATCGCCAGGACTGGCTCTTCTGCATTGTTGAAATGGAAAGAGAGCCTCCAACGCTTGTCACTTCTGCTGAAATAGTAGCTTGAGGAGCTTTGAAAGTGCTTACCTAAACCCCCAAAGTAGGTAAAATAATGGCCCAAACCCCCTAAATGTAGCCCAAAAGGCCATTCTTCTACATACTTTGGGGTCCAGGTAGTTATCTTTTTGACAGGGAGGAGGAACTGTCAAGGCGCGAGCTACCCTGGATCACGCCGTCTGTTGTCCCGATCGACTTGTTCTTTTTCCGGCGCATCTTCTCCAGGCGCTTGGACCGCAGTCAGCCTAGTCCATCTGTATTTATATGCAACCCCCCCCCCCACAAAGATCCACCGTTTTTAGGGTAAAAGCAAATTTTGAAAGAAATTTACTGGGAAACTACCAAGGTGGACCTTGCAATTGGATGTATTTCCTTGTTTTCCTTTTAAAGTTTAAAGCAAATAATTGAAATGAGTGAAAAATTCACACATTTTTAATTATCCTAAAACTTATTTTCATTCTTTTCTTAGAAAGTAATTCAAATA